CTCAAACAATTTACCCCTCAACATGCAGCGGATTTTTATTGACAGGACTCTTTCTGCCATCTGATTTTTGCAAAAAGTGTGGAGACTATGCTACCTCTAGTATCACTGAAATCAGCTGCAGGGCGGCCAGTTTCTTTGTGGAAACGATTATTAAAACTAACATTTCCTGAAAAACTTCTCGTGTTCTCTCATATGCAAGTACCCATTTCTTAGTCTGTAGCTCACTGGAAAAGAAACTATATGAAAATGAATATAATTACTTACCACTCTCCTGGGTTTCAAATGAGTAGCTGGCCAAGGCAGAAAAGAATTCAACCTTCATAATATAAGGCCAGTGGCCCTAACCACATGGCCACAAAGCACATGTCTGTGCGTATCTACAAGTTCCTTTGAATATCAAGCCAATTTTAAGGTGCATATTCTGCTTTTTAGAACCTGCGGAATATGTACAAAATAGAATACAGAACGCCTTTACGTTCCTATAATGCAAAGATTTCTAACTGGAGTTTAAAAATCTCCTCTAAAGGTACATCACGTCTACAGTTTTTTAGTTATGTTCTGCACTGTTTCTGCAGATGCTAATGCTTTGCAGGGGGACCCAGACCACATGACAGCACGAGACACCAGCACCAAGGCCTCACCTGGGCAGGTTGGCTGGGGTGGAAGCGGCTGACGACTGGAAGGCGTTGTGGGTTGGGATGAGTCGTGATTTCTCCGGTACTCTGCCCATTCGGTACAGATCCCCATGCTGTTCAGTTCCCTGTAGAGAAGAGAGAAAGCTTCATGGCTCTGGCTAGCACAAAGCATTTACCTGCGCGACAAAGCAAACCAACTCATTTGAAATGTCAGTAGCCTCAAACACCAGGGGGTCAATGCTTGCCGAGGTAAGAGGGTTAGTCCCTCCTTTGTGTCCTGGCATCACAGTTCACACCCTAACATGAGGGCGACTGTCCATCCAGGCAGGCCTTTATGACGAGGCCAACTCCTTCACCCACCCTGAGCTTGCCCGCCTCCTGCCTGTCCCTTTCCTTCTCAGTCTTTAAACTTCTTTTGTTCCGCCATTTAATCGTGGGTAGTTACGTGAGATCCATGTCACGTCCTTTGTGCTGCTGGGGAGACAGATGGAGAAATGGACAGACAGACATGTCACTGGAACCACGAGACAGATGAGGCCCCCCAGCCTCACTCTATAACATGCCCAACTTCAGGATTGCAGCCCTGATAGCTGGGTGCCACCTGCTCACCTCATTCGCAGGGTCAGTTTGGGAGACATCTTCAAACCACAAAACCCCAAGGCACAGGCCCACAAGCCCCAACTAAGGGGGCACAAAGGAGCCTCGCAGGGCCCTGTCAGGTCTCCTGGTGCTCAGACACACGCCGCGCGTGCCCGGCCCCAACACCAGGCAGCGGCCAGTGTGTATGGGACAGGCACACTCACGTGCCCACAGAACTGCATTTTCAGACCTGATTTAGAGGAATATCATTTCTTCAAAAAATGAAAAAAAAATATTTATTCTGTGGCTACTTCTAGTAAGCTTCTCGGTACACTTGGGAACTGTTTTAAACCACAGTTCGGTCTCATCAGATGAGTGACCCCAGGCAGCTGCACTGATTTTTGCCGCAGCTCAGTCTGGGCTCTGGCTGCCGGGCTCTGGGGGAGCCTTCGGGAAGTGAGGTTCCCGCTCCCCAGCCGACAACTCCGAACCTTGCAAATAACATGTAGAACTCCGTCCGATTTTTAGAAGTACTTAGGCATCTGAATGCTGAATTCTCTTTCCTAACTTAGACACTGCCCTGCAATTGTCTTCCTCTGGAAAGAATTTAAGCCAAGAATAAAACAAAACTATAGCAATTCTATTGGTAAAAAATCTATTCTTTAGAATTGTTTAAATTGGTAAAAAATGGATCTTTTCACAACAGTTTGTAATTAAAAATACACACATAGCAACTGAAATTGGCCTTTAAAAGTTCATTACCAAATTGTTGTTCGACTTGTATGTTAATGGCTGCTTCACGTCCTGCAGCATGGTTGTTCTCTTAACTGTTCCTATCCTGTGAGCCGTTTACATCCGTAGTGTAAACGTGTTGCAAAACGGGATTTTTGGGTGTGCAGGAAGGGAATGACCACTCATGGAGCCCTTTAGGACCACAGTCTTGACTCAGAGCACGCAGATCCACAGCTGATGAGTCTAAAGACACTGTCGCGTGCCAAGACGGAGCGAGTCTCTATCTCTGCGAGACCTGCTCCGCCCCACGCGCTTACGCCGGTGGCCGTCCTGCCCTGTCTGGGCAGAGCAAAGCCTGGCGTGTAGAGTGCAGAGGAGGCTCTGGGCTCAAACGAACCAGGGCAAAACAGAGCACAAACCAGACCCAGGAGGCGACCTCGAAAGCCAAGAGGGGAGAGAGCGTCCGGGGAACCCACAGGGATGAGGGTGCTGCCTGCAAAGCCCGGCCAGGGAGATAGGGGTCGAGGGGCTGACAACCACCTGCCACACTGACCGCTGTCACCAAAGTTCAGTCAATAGGGAGAGAGACCTTCTGTTTCCTTTGGACATGCAGCACCCCTCGCCCCCTTTCCGACTTTGTACGCCCATCCCCCCCACCAGCTGTGAACTGGGGCAGCCACACCCGTCGTCGTGGTTAGTTCCAACGGAGCTGACTCTGCTTCCGGCTCGGGCCTGGCCAGAGAGCAGACTCGCTCTCCGCCTCCGCACCTGAACCTGCTGAGAAGCAGGTGAACTGCTGCACGCCTGCTTCCCCCAGGGAGAACGTGCATCTGGACACGGTCTGCGCAGAGGCACCGGAGCCGGGAGGAGACAGGAACTAGATCCTAGCGACGTCCTCCGAGCTCCTACTTCCAGCCACGCCTGGAGCCACGCTGCCCCTGAACTCTGCTGTTATGTCAGCCACACATTCTTCCTTCTGCCCGAGCCAGGCTGGGTGGGTTCCTGTCACAGTCAACAGAGCCCAAGTGAATCCTGAGATTCCACTACACGCAGTATTTATGGAACAGCGCGGGCCGCGCTCGGCGCTAAGACGATGGAGGACCACTGAGACGCAAGTGGCCTGGCCGCAGCAGCTTGACCAAGACTGCTCAGCGAATCGCCACGCACTCATGTAACGTGTGTGCCTCCTCCTGCCTCAGGACGCTCCAGTGGCCTCACGTTCTTGGGATAAACCCAGGCCGTGTCCTAGGAGGTCCTGCCAGCCCTTCCACTCACCCCAGCACTGTCCCTGGCGTGCCCTTCCAGCCCACTGGGCACTTTCTGTGCCCAGGACGGGCCGTGCTCACGCCCACGTGATCCCTGCTCTTCTGCTCTGCCCGGGAGGCTCTGCCTTCATGTCTCTGCATGGCTGGTTTCTTGACATTTAGGTTCTGCTCAAGTGTCACCCTCTGACCCCCTGACTGAAGTAGCCCCACCCCATCAGTGTGTTTCATTTCTTCACTATCTGAAATTATCTCATTTACTTTCCTGTTTATTGCTTGCCTCTCCCTTGTAAAGCGTCAGCTCCGCAACAGCAGGCCTGGCCTCACCTGCTTCCACGCCCCGTGCCTTTGGCCAGTGGCACAAAGCAGGGTGCCCTCAAATCTCACCAACGGGCGGTGCGGAGAGGTGAGGCCCAGGGCATCCCCGGGCACCTGGGCAGGACCCACAAGGGCTCGAAGGGTGAGTGCACAGGACAGGGGAGGGAAAGGCCCTAAGAGTGAGATCCGCGCGATTAAGACTTACCCGATAAACGTGTACTGAGGCGGGGCCTGCTTGGTGGCGCCATGATCCGAATGTCACAGATTGCGGCTTCGTTGAGTCTCGTGGAATAATTTAATGCACAGCCTCTTCTTTCTAAAAGCCACCTCCTCTGAAGAAAGAGCAACAGAAAAGTACGTGTCTTCCAGAGCTGCCACCACCTCTTATTCTGAAATCCACGTCCCCTGTTCCCAGCAGCAGCAGTGACAGTCATGC